ACACTATAGGGTCAGGAATACATGTTTGTGTTGCTGACCCTATATTGTTCCTTTAACGAGTCAGCATATCAAGATATTTTGGACAATGCAATGCTTCCAGCTTTGTGGGAACAGTTTGGGGAAGGCCCTTTTCTATCCCAGCATGACTGTGTCCAGTGCACAAAGCAAGGTGCATAAAGACATGGTTGGATACGTTTGGTGTGCAAAAATTTGACTGGCCCACACAGAGCTCTGACCTAAACCCCATCGAACACCTTTGAGATAAACTGGAATTGAGATTGTGAGACAAGACTCCTCATCCAATACCAGTACCTGACCACACAAATGCTCTCTAGCCTTTACTTGTAGTCAAAAATGGGTTGGCATAACACTTTAATTGAAGTCCAGCAAAGGATAATGAGGCAGGGGTAGCAGTATCAGAGGGAGAGACCCAGGTTTCCATGTGAGATGAATAGGTCATAATGAGCTGCTGATTTAGTGATATGGCACACAGATCATGCATTTCAGAGTGCACAGTGAAAAGTGAACATACTGGGAGAAGTACATAAGATACATATTAGATTGGTAGGGTTTCTGGTATTAGGGAAGTGGAAGTGGGTAGGTGGGTAGAGGAGAGCTTTGGAAGACATCTGCCAGAAGCAGAAGGATAAAAAGTAGAAGAAGGTAGGAGTAAGTGAATCATTCCTAAAATATAAATGAGGATGAGTGAGACTTTAAGGACTTAAATTCAAGTTTGTTCTGTAACATATATGAAAGTAAACCTGTGAATGAATTAAATGCAAATTCTGGTATCACCTTAAGATTGTTCTGGAAACCCTAGTAATTTACTTTTCCAATCAATGTGAAATTTGTATTATGGCATAATCCAGTGTATTATTGAAGTTATCATAAATCATGTCTAATAAACAACCCTGACTTCAGAAGTATTTTAATATGCTATAATGTTATTCTTGTAATTCAAAGTGCAATATGCAAAGAAGAAATAAATGGATAATGAGTCTCATTAAACAGAAAAAAAAAACAGTTTTCAAACTTTAAACTTTTAATGATGTTGTTAAAGGTATTATTATCAATTAAAGAGTTATTATTAATTATAAAACTAAGTAAGTCACAATGATGTTACTGGTGGATTAATTGATATAAACATTTTTTTTTAAATTGTTTGAATAAAATCTAAATTTTAATTAGTTATCTCATGATCAATCAAAGCTAATTTTAGACAACAATATAAAAAAACTATCCAACCGCTGCTGGATTTTAGTTATTTGCTGAGGCCTTTTATGATTTTAATGTGACTTTGTCATCTTCTTTTAACAAAACAAAAGAAAAACATTCACAATAAAAAACATTTTATTTTTTATTTTTTACAAACTATAAACCAGACATTGGTAACCTTTGTGGAAATGTATCAAAATCAAGAGTAAAAAAAAAAGTACAAAAATTAAAAGAATAGAGTAAAAGAAAACACACTGAGAATGAATGGAAATTTAGCTAAATGCGGTTTAATGCCATCTCTACAACACAAAATAACACACAAGGCTCAGAGAACAAAATATAAAAAGGGTTATTTAAAAGTGAGAAGCCAGGAATTCAAAGAAAAATTAAAGCAAAGAAAAGATCATTTAGAAAAATTATTCACGTCATTTCCGTGTTCATTTCAACTATTTATATTTACTTTTGTGTTCAGTTCAGCTTTTTTGCCTTATTTTTAAAATGCACTTTGAAGTAACCACATGATCACAATCAGACCAGCTGGCAAAGAAGGAACAGTAGAGGTGATGAAGGAGGACTGTATCAAAGAGGGAGTCAGGCAATTGTCGGATCATACAGAAACTAAGTCAAGACACCACTAAAGACTACACAACAGAACTCAAAAATCTAATTAAATCTTTCCAAAGTAGTCACAACAGGAATTGGAGCAGCTCATATCCACCAGTCCTAGCATTTGGACTTTCTATATGTTACCAAATATTCATAAACTAGGAAACCTGGACAGACCTACTGGCATGTATACACTTCCTGAACAGATTTTGGGCATAGTGAAAAACATATTCAAGCCTATGGATACCAAACCAAACAACTTCATAAAATATACATCAGACCTCCTTAGTAAACTCAGCTCAGCAATACCTAACTTGTAACCAAGGCTGTAGACTTCCTGTACAGCAACATCCCACAAAAAGGTGGAAGCAATGCCTGTCCCTAATTTTACTCAAATAGTAACTACCAAAAAACATATAGACCCCAAAGTCTTCACAGAACAGAAAGTTCAAACTTAAACATAACTACTTCAGCTTTAACCCCTTAACACCATTACAACGTTCTATGCCGTCCCGCATTAAAAGGGCTTTAAAGCCGTTGCGGACTTACCTGCACCGCGATCCTCTACTGGAGGGCTGCCTGACAGCCCAGGCAGCCCTCCCCCGGCAAATGAGGCCCCCGGGGGCCATGTGATCGCTCTCAAAGAGCGATCACATGGCCCCCTATAGTTGGCTGTGGATCTGCCAGCAGGGGGACTGTCTGAAATGCTGGTAGGAGGTGTAAAAAAATATTATTAGACATGTTTAAAATTAATTAAAAGTATATATATGTATATCTATTATATATATAATATATATACATATTATTATTATTATTATGATATTTATAGAGCACCGTCAAATTCCGCAGCGCTTTACAATGGGTGGACGAACAGACATGTAGTTGTAACCAGACAAATTGGACACACAGGAACAGAGGGGTTGAGGGCCCTGCTCAATGAGCTTACATGCTAGAGGGAGTGGGGTAAAATGACACAAAAAGGTAAGGATAGTATTAGACTAGTGACAGTTGCAGAAGAGGAATCAGTCAGGAGCTATTAACAGTTTAATTGATACGCTTTTATGAAGAAGTGGGTTTTTAACGATTTTTTGAAGGAGTGGAGACTGGGTGAGCATCTAACGGAGGAGGGAAGCGAGTTCCACAGGAACAGTGCAGCCCTCGAGAAATCTTGAAGGCGAGCATTATATATATGTAATGTCATACAAAGTGTTTTTTAATATTAATATAAGTATATATATTAGTATTAAAATACACTTAGAATGACGTTAGATATATATAATATGTATATATATTATATATATATAATAGATATATACACATATAATATATATATATATATATATATATATATATATGTATGTATAATTACAATAATAAATAAATAAAATAATAAAATAAATAAATAAAATATTGAAACAAAATTTAATATAAATTATATATTCATATGTAATTTCATTCTAGCTGTATTTTGTTAATAATATATATATATATTGGTAACAAAATACACTTAGAATGACATTCTATATCTATCTATATATAAAATACAAATAACCGCAAATATAAATATATAGATAAATACATATAGTTACATAAAAGATTACATTAGTATACACGTAGAATTTAAATACCTATAAATGCATATGTATTAAAATTCTATGTGTATATTTAAGTAATCTTTTAACATAATTATGTGATTTGATTAATTAAAATTTGATTGACATGCCTGACAACACAGGGAGAAAGTGCAGAGAATTTAATTCGCAAGCACTATATTTGACCCTGTAACTCTCCAAGACACCATAAAACCTGTACATAGGGGGTACTGTTTTACTCAGGAGACTTCGCTGAACTCAAATATTAGTGTTTCAAAATGATACATTGTATTACAATGATGATATTTTAAGTAAAAGTGAAGTTTTTTGCTTTTTTTTTTTTAAATATTAACAGCACTTTTGTTGACTATATTGTTGTTGTAATATGTTTTACTGTTTTATAACACTGATATTTGTGTTTAGTGAAGTCTACCGAGAATAACAGTACCCCCCATGTACATGTTTTATGGTGTTTTGGAAAGTTAGAGAGTCACATATAAGGCTTGCATTTCATTTTTTTTACATTGAAATTTGCCAGATTGGTTATGTTGCCTTTGAGAGCGAATGGTAGCCCAGGAATGAGAATTACCCCCATGATGGCATACCATTTGCAAAAGTAGAAAAACCAAGGTATTTTAAGTGGGGTATGTCCAGTCTTTTTTAGTAGCCACATATTAGTTTTTTGCTTTTTTCACACAAAAACAAATATGAACGCTAACTTTGGCCAGTGTTTGTGACTAAGTGGCTACTAAGAAAGACTAAACATACCCCACTTTCAATACCTTGGGTTGTCTACTTTTTCAAATGGTATGCCATTATGGGGGTAATTCTCATTCCTTGGCTACCACACCGTCTGAAAGGTAACATTACTAATCTGGCAAATTTCAATTTGAAAATGGAATGTTCTATATTTGACCCTGTAACTTTCCAAAACACCATAAAACCTGTTAATGGGGGGTACTGTTGTACTCGTGAGGCATCGCTGATTACAAATATGTGCATTTTTTTTGCAGTAAAACCTAACAGTATTATGACATTAATAGCTAAAATGTCAGACGGAAATACAATTTTTAAAAAAAATCTTATTTTCTCACATTTTTTAAAATTGTATTCATAATAAATTATGTTCCATATATGAATAGTTAATAATAAATTAAAGCCCTGTTTCTCCTGAACACAATGATATATAATAAGTGTGGGTGCACTTAATGTGACAGCAGTGAATTACAGTTGAACAGACTTATAGCGCAAATTCCAGTTTTTGTTTACGTTTTGTTTTGATCAGAGCGTGTACTATTGACTTCGTCCTGAAGGGGTTAACAAGAACAGCTATTTACAAACAAATGGGGAATTAATGTGCACATTAACTAGGCTGATCAGTTAAAGTGCAGAAAATTGTTTCATTTCTCAAAGATTTCTCACATTACCGAGGTAATCTGCACATTACCTACTTAATCTGCACATTACCTACTAGGCACTAGTTAAAGTGCAAAATAATATCTCTTGCTGGAACAACAGCAACGTTTAAAAAGCAAGATAGTACAATCAAACGAGAATCAAGTTAACATAATGTTATTTATTTAGCAACAAAGAAGCAAGTTTCTGTTACAAAACTGCAATAGAAAGAATCAAACGATTATGGAAATGAATTTGCTGAACAAACATATTATAAAGCTATGCTTACTTATTAGTGCAATCTAAAGATTGGCGACACTTTGAATTACATAACAATCTTTTTTTTGCGACAAACACACCTATTTGTGGTACATTTTCGATTTGCAGTCACATTTTCGGAAACCCTGACCAGTACCAATGGATTGTTTGATTGTTGTTTGACATAAAGATATTTCCACAGCAGGGACATCTTCTTTCATTAAAAATCTCTCTTTGCAAACACTGAATTCTGATTTGGCATACAATTGTTTTTCAAAATACCGGTAAAAATCGAGCGGGCATCAGTTTTTGCTCTGTCCACTTCGGGTACTTTAATTCTCACAGTGACACCTTCGTTGACATTTGGCTGCTTTCCATTAGAAACTGCTAACATTTTCTTTGCTTGCTTTTCTAAACCTTTCTAAACCACATAGTCACATACCTCCTCTTCAAAACAGTTATCCCGAACTGGTAAGAAACGAGGAGCCCCCCACCACAACAAGAGAGCAAGCGCCTTCCTGCACATTATGCAGAAACCACCCTGAAATGATCCAGCAGATGCTCTCCACTGTTCTCAATATCTTCATCATCATCATATTTGAAGGACAGTCGGAATCAGTGGTCCATGAGCAGACCTCTCCTTGGTGTCATTTTCCTCAATGAGAAGTATTTCTCTGACTTATGGAGCAGCATTGTTGTTAGTAGCCAGCCCCCTCTGAGAAGCAACAAGCCATGCGTCTACGCTTTGAGAATTCGAATGGAGGGCATTGAAAATGAACTTTCTCACAAAAGAATCGAGACAGGTTCACACAGAATCTTTCTGCATTCAGACAAGAAGTGAACGACTCTGCAGGGACTGCACTGAAAGGGTGAAACAGGTTCTGCTGCGAGGACATTTTGTAATGAATCATTTCCTCTTTACCGAGGGAAAAAAACAAACTTTTGCACTGAAAAAGGGTGAAACAGGTTTCTGCAAGGACGTTTTGTAATAAATAATTTCCTCTTTACCCGAGGGGAAAGAAACAAAAATTTTGCACTTTAACTAGACGGAAGCAGTTAATGTGCACATTACCTAGGTAAAGTGCGGAAAACTCTTGATTCCTCACTTTAATTTAGCAAATCCGTTAATCTGCACATTAACTAGGTAATGTGCAGATTAACTGATTTCTCACTTTAACTGTAACATATATATTTTACACTACATCCATAATATCAATGTATCGTTTTATATATATATATATATATATATATATATATATATTTGTTCTCAGAATTTCTAATACATAATGGAATGTAGAAGGAGAAGCAAAGTTGGTAGAGGTGTGCCGAAACAAGTAGGCCTGTAATAAAAGAGGGCCCACAAAGGTGAATTGTTAATGTAGGTGGTGACAAACAGCTTGCATGACAAAGGTAAGTAAGGGGGTAGGGTTTAAATAGGATCATTACTCCTCCCACAATTCCAGGCCAAATGGCCTTCCAACTTGTACTCGGAATTTCTAATACGTAATGGAATGTAGAAGGAGAAGCAGAGTTGGTAGAGGTGTGCCGAAACCAACGTATGAGTAGGCCTGTAATAAAAGAGGGCAAAAGAGGATTCAAAGAAAACACACTTTAGTGCACGAGTTTTTACACTGATTGAGGTATATATGTAATTGAGCTGAGGATTACCTGTGGCCCCATCACTTAGTAATATAGACTGGGGTGTAAGAGCTTGAAGCTGCTGATGCAGCGCTTTTGTGAAAAAGAGAGACCAGCGAAGGAAGCCATGATGTAGCTCACCTTAATGGAAGAAGAAAAGAAGAGGTTGGAGATTCCCGTATTACTTCATATTGACACCAGAGGAACACTGAGATAACAGATTAAAACTATCATTTTAAACGTCACTTTTAATATTCAAATTAAAAAGTCCCTTAATACCGAGGGCACTACACACACTATTATACTAAACACGTGCACATACACCACATATGGTGATACTAAACTCCATAAATAGATGAAAAAATGATTTCACTGAATCGAAGATAAGTACACACTACAGACTGTCTTAGTCTTTGAAGTGAAATCCTAAAGTCTCCTAAATAGATTTACATAAAAAACCTTACTTCTTAGTAAAACAATTATAAAGTGTGCCAAAAGAAGTCCTGTAATCTCATAAAAGGATTACCAAAAATAATCTTGATTATTGGCAATCCAATAAAAGATGAGTTTAAACCCGATGCCTAATGATAGATCCCAATCCTAAGAATAATCTAAATATCCCCTATTTCGTTGGATCTCCTGATACAGTAAATTTTCACTGGGTATTCATATGCCCGTTCATGAAAGTAGCTCCTCTATCTACTGGAACTGATCTTCCCCGATAGCCTAATGTAACATTGTTACTTGTTGTTGTGACTGTAATAATCCTCTCTCGTTACAGTGTAGTCAAAAGTGTAGAGAATTTCCTATAATCTCTGTATATTTCACGATCAAACCCCATCTGAGAGCAACAAAGCACAAAAAACACCTAAGTATACAACATGGCTACTTTTTCTAATAATGTATATCGTGGGGAAGGAAGGAGGACACAGATATATCCCAGGTTTCAGTAATTGAACCTCTAGGACAATTTGTACTTTAAAATTTCTGTCCTTCCTATCTCAGCAATGCCCCAAATATCAGCTCCCCCACATGTCTATAATATAACGCAACGAGACTATTATCTCGAGAGGTAGATGCTTTCTCTAATTCCGGGAGATAACATATGCTAAATCTGATAACAGTAGGAACTACTTGGCATAGAGTAACTATCTTGAGTTTATCTCATCTATGTTTTGTGCCACCCTACAATTCCCTGATGCGCGTTTCGCCTGTCAGCTCATCAGAGGGAAACCGGGAGCCTTAGCCTCCCTTTTTTTTTAGGGTGATATCCTGTTGCTATTGGTGACCATTATTTTTGAATTAACCAATAAGGAAGAAAATACTCTTCTTGTAAAGACCGGAGTGATTATGTGATTAAGCCCGGGTTTATTTAACCCTTCATGCTCCGATCTCTAGACAGAACGATGAGTTCTTGACATTTAGAACAATGAATGAATGAATTAACATCCGAGGAAAAGACCTGTTATTGTAATGTTAGAGATTGGTAAAGGCAAATAAACAAAATTATGAGTTATATTGTTTGCTGTAATAATTTCTAGTTCTCCAATTTCTAAATCTATAAATCAACACTTTGACATTCCTGGGATCGCTATAAATTAATAGGAGCAATAACCTTTAACCAATAATTTACCATCTTACTTAGTACAGTATTGTAGTTGTAAATTTGATACACTCTATCTTATTGTTCCTTGGGTCACTGCCGATTTACTGTTATAGGTTCCTAGATAATACTCCATTGGACTGATTAATCATCGTTCGTGCCCAATGTTTTTATTGTGCCTACGTTGTTCACACTCATTTATAGTGTAATTTTCTATATCAATTCTAATCCACTGACTTACATGTTAACAAACAAGAGGTGATAATGCAATAGGCAACACATAGATTTCTAATGCTTCCCTCGTTCTTTGCCATTGGAAGCAGAAGATAGTATTCTGTATCGGGATTACAATCCCTGATTTTGACGATGGATATACAGAACATAATGTCGGACTGTTTGTGTTTTTATATCAGTTATACTTGGAACGTCCAAGTTAGATTAATGAGTCATAATGTCCCATATTTCTCATTACTCCAGGAGCTTCTTGTTTAAAAGCTAGTAACTTGTTCTATTAAAGACTTTCGGTATAAAAATAAAGAAATTGTTTAAGTAGAAACAGAGACTTATTAATAATTTTCATGTCCATCAATATAGGCATACGTATCTATATATATATATATATATATATATATATATACACATGCACCTATACACATATATAATATAAACACAGATACAAAACTGGAATCCATTACCCAAAGGGGCCTATTTTTCTATCAGGATGGAAATGCTCAAAGAATTGATTTTAAATTAGAGCTTAACTTCTGCAAATAGGAAGAATTTGTCCGGATCTCTATCCATGAATGAAGGGGGTAAATTGAACTCTTCATTAAGACCCCTAGGGGTCAGTGTTCTAAAGGTATGAATCCACCTTGACTCTTGTTTCAATAGTTTAAGATTAAAATTCCCCTTTCTGGAGTTGAGGGCTATTTGTTCAATAGCCTGAAACTTGAGATTTGAAACATCACTGTTGTGCTGTTTTCTAATATGGTTAGCTACAGGAGTCGATATATTGATGTTCATAACTGAATTCACGTGTTGCAGTATGCGTCTTCCAAACTGTTGATACGTTTTTCCCACGTATTGTATACCGCAGCCACACGTGATTACATAAACTACCTTTGTGGTGGAGCAATTGACAAATTGTTTGATGAAAAAACGTTGTTGTGTTTTGGTACATTCTACAGTCTTAGATGGATATATATATTCAGAGGCCTTACAATGTCCGCATTTATAAGTGCCTTTGGTCATGGCTAACCATGATTTTGTCGGTAATTCTGGTTCCAGGTGACTATGTACCAGTATATCTTTCAGATTTTTTGGTCTACGTGCTGTGATACTAGGCCATTGAGTAAGATGTTTTGCCAAATCCTTATCATGTGTTAGGATTGGCCAATGGTCCATATAAATTCTTCTTATTGGATCCCATAGCTGGTCAAAGGTCCCAATACAGCGTATAGGTTGTTTTGCCATTTGTGGTTTCGTAGTGCGTAAAGCGGTAGTTCTTTCTATTGCTGATGCCCGTTGGTATGCTCTTTTCAGAACTCGGTTTGGGTACCCTTGGGATTTGAACCTTATTCTCAGTTCTTTTGCCTCTCTGTAAAAGGACTCATCATCCGAGCAGTTTTGCCTTGTTCTTAAATACTGGCCATATGGTATTCCCGCTTTTTGGATAAATGGATGGTGACTCTCCCAATGAAGTAAACTATTGTTTATTTGCCTTTACCAATCTCTAATATTACAATAACAGGTCTTATCCTCGGATGTTAATTCATTCATTCATTGTTCTAAATGTCAAGAACTCATCGTTCTGTCTAGAGATCGGAGCATGAAGGGTTAAATAAACCCGGGCTTAATCACATAATCACTCCGGTCTTTAAAAGAAGAGTATTTTCTTTCTTATTGGTTAATTCAAAAATAACGGTCACCAATAGCAACAGGGTATCACCCTTAAAAAACCGGGAGGCTAAGGCTCCCGGTTTCCCTCTGATGAGCTGACAGGCGAAACGCGCGTCAGGGAATTGTAGGGTGGCGCAAAACATAAATGAGATAAACTCAAGATAGTTACTCTATGCCAAGTAGTTCCTACTATTATCAGATTTAGCATATGTTATCTCCCGGAATTAGAGAAAGCATCTACCTCTCGAGATAATAGTCTTGTTGCGTTATATTATAGACATGTGGGGAGCTGATATTTGGGGCATTGCTGAGATAGGAAGGACAGAAATTTAGGGAAACCTGGGATATATCTGTGCCCTCCTTCCTTCCCCACAATATACATTATTAGAAAAAGTAGCCATGTTGTATACTTAGGTGTTTTTTGTGCTTTGTTGCTCTCAGATGGGGTTTGATCGTGAAATATACAGAGATTATAGGAAATTCTCTACACTTTTGACTACACTGTAACGAGAGAGGATTATTACAGTCACAACAACAAGTAACAATGTTACATTAGGCTATCGGGGAAGATCAGTTCCAGTAGATAGAGGAGCTACTTTCATGAACGGGCATATGAATACCCAGTGAAAATTTACTGTATCAGGAGATCCAACGAAATAGGGGA